TATATATATATAAATATATAAGCATATAGATAGATTTATTTTATATATATACATAAATTTGTAAACATTAATATTAAAAGAGCATTATAAACTCACCTGTAACTACACCCTCTAAATCAAAAATAAAATTTGTATCAGAAATTTATTATATGCACAGTTAAGTGCATGCATACAATGAACATACAATAAACTTTTTCACAATTGTCTGTAACTAAAATATTTTAACACTAACTGTAATGTAGACTAAATTTATTGTGAATATTTATTAAGAAATTCTATTCTTGTTATTTTATTTCTAATATAAATTTTTGTTATTTTATTTCTAATATAAATTCTTGTTATTTTATTTCTTTAAAATTGAAAGTAAACACACTAGCTCTCCCGAATTGTTTTTATTTTATTTTAAGAAAGGCTCTAAAAACTCACCTTTAGCATGCAGATATTATTACTTTTCATGCATTATTTCTAACTATTTACTTATTTTTTTCTTTCAAGAAATTTAAATTATGAAGTTTCTTTTAAAAATATACCTTTTTTATTTTTTTTCAAAGTCATTTCAAACACTCTGCCTTGTTATGGAAAGAAACTGATGTTCATTAATTATGTATAAATTATCGTATTTTCTGGTCAGAGACGGGTTGTAGCAAATGCATGTCAAATAACAATTTGAGATTCTCGAATAATCTTAGATTTAAACAATTTTTTTGATATTTTTTTTCCAATGCCCACCTGTGTTAACATCCGTAAATTCAAGCATTTACAGGCCAGTTTTTTTTGCTTCTCTTTCAGGGCACCATATTAGGTGGGCCAACATTGCTCCCACAGTAAGGACTAAGGACAAATAGTACAGGGAAGGAAAGAACATCCGTGCCTTGCCTGAGATTCGAACCCAGAACCTTTCTGGTGCAAAGGCAGTTCCCTAACCCCTACACAGGTCAGTCAGGCCTTTTATTGATATTGTTTCTCTATATTTTACGGGTTTTCATAGTTGGAAAATAATAATCCTGAAGTTGTAAGTTACCCATAGTTGGATAGAATAATCCCGACAAAATTTTCTTTTTCGAATTTTAAAATTCAGTTTATTTGAAATACATTTAATACAACACTGAGAAAAAAAATCTCCCGAAATTATGAGTATATGGTGAGACTTTCCATGTTTCTGGATTGAGAACACTATAAAGCTCGGTAATTTTTACTGAATCTCTTTGGTATCGCATTTTTTGGTCTTATTGTCAGACTTATGTTTTTTTAAAATTTTTTTAATCAGAAATTTTGTTATTATACAGGACCATAATTTAACATTTTTTTCTTCGTGAAATAAACAAAGCAGTTAAAAATTGTATTTTACTCTATAATATATAGAGAGCAATTTCTAGCTTTAAAATGTGATTTAACCAAAAAATTATTCCTCCTAAGATGGTTTTTAGCACATATTTTTAGAAATGCAGAAAAGGTATTAAAAATAAACTATGCGACTTCAAAATAATAGTTTAGATGAAATTTATGATGAGTTTAGAAGCAAAATTTATAAAAAGCAAGTACAACTTGATTTATCATTTTTGTTGTAGAAAAGATTAATAAATAGATGTTGTTGTAAGAAGAAATAAGAAATTAAATAATTATCAATTATACATTTTTTGTCTTGTGGGAATTTAATCTAAATTTTATTCTAATATAAGTTGTTTTATGATAATTTCATTAGAATTTTAGTTACTCATTAGCTTTTGATGCCATAAAAAGGAACTAAAAAGACTTTTTTAAAAAGAACTAGATCCAGTATTTTCAAACTTTGAAATTAATTATTTTTCATTTCATTTTAACCAAAATTCTAAATATATGATTTAAAGACGGCTAATATGAAACAGAGTATCCTGTATGCCTACAATTTATTATTGATATTTGTTTCAAACAAAATAAATTTCACAATAATCGATGTTTTATATGTAAAAATTCGTAATAAAATATGTAAAAATTATATGTATATCTTGCTGTGATAAATAACTAAAAAATTCAGGTCTTCAGCCGTCACTTTAATCACGTTGTAAGAGATAATATGGAAAGCTCCAAGAATGAGCAGTGATATTCCCTTTCATTCGAAATCTTAAATCTTGGATGCAAATTTCTGATTAGATCTTTTAGAATATGTATTATAACCCACTTTCAGAATATGTATTATTACCCACTTTCAGAATATGTATTATAATCCACTTTCAGAATATGTATTATAACCCAGTTTCAGAATATGTATTATAACCCACTTTCAGAATATGTATTATAATCCACTTTCAGAATATGTATTATAACCCACTTTCAGAATATGTATTATAGCCATATTTATAACACATCTAGAAAATAAACAACAATGTTGGTCCCTCAGTGTAAAAATATGCTAAAAAATCATTATAAAGGAAAATTTTGTCTTCTGCTTTTAGAGAAAAAAAAAGAGAAAAATGTATCTCTAAAAATGATACACACGTAGGCGCATGACATATTAAGACATGGGCACGCACGTAAGTTCCAAAAGAAAGAAGGGGGAAGCGTTTAAATATCTTTATATTGATTTATATTAATATTAATTTCATGTGATCTAATTGCATGGAAATTTTATGTTAAAAAAACTGCAAGTCAAATACGATTGTTTTTTAGTTGCAAAAGCTCCAAAAGGAAAAAAAAGTTGTTTTCCTTACAAAAAATAATTGTAAACATGTTTAAACATTTTGAAAACGACCATTGAGTTTCTTATTTTCAGACATGAGAGTACGTGACTGAAAAAAAAATATATTTCTACTGAAGATAGTATTTTTAGTGCACTGATAAACTGAAAATCCGTGAGGAAAAAGCATATAAAAAGTTTGGTGTTCCCCAAATTTTTTAAAAGGTGAATTTTTTGAATAGTTTTTATAAAAGGGAAAAATATAGCCGAAAAAAAGATGTCAATGTCAAAAATATTTTCTACTTGAATATTTCTCGACCATTTAGCTACCATTTAGTTAAAAAGAGACAAAATTTAGTATTTTTTAATTCAATAGTTTTTTTGCAATGTGAGTAAAAAGCACATACAAGGAGTGTTTTCTAAATCATCGGTGGGAATGGAGGAGTTTTATTTTTAAATTTAGGTGTAATGTTTAACTTACTTTGACATTTTCCAGCTTTTCCACCTTTACCTCCTTTACCTGTATCAATGAAACAAAAATTATTATTAAATTTTTTTAAATCTTTTTAGGTAAATAGCAAACATCAACATACTCTTAACAAAATAAGTTTATTCTACAAATACTATCCAAATCTACAGTTCGTAACATATGGAAAAATAGGCAATTAACAATTTCTGCTCATGAAAAAAATTTAAATGGCAGAAAAAAGTTGAGAAAAGCAGATCACAAGGATATTGAAGAAGCATTACTGAAGTGGTTCAGCATTCAAAGAATCAAAGAAGCCACAATCCTCCAGTATCTGGATAAATGTCGATAAATTTGCTAAGCGATGTTATGAGATTACATTTATGTGCTCGAATGGCAGGTTAGACAAATTTAAAAAGTGGACTAACAGAAATTCAGGAAAAATTATCTGAGAGTCGGGAAATGTTTCCATATCTGATGTTGAGGACTGTTCAACAGCTAAAGATTACAATTTTTTTTTTCTTTTTGCACGCAGGACGAAGAGTAATAAAAAATAACAAATTTTTTGCTACTACATAACATTTTNATATCTTTTTTTTTTCATTGCACATACTTTAAGATAATGATTAAGGTGACAAATACCTTCTTTTCTGGCTGGCTGAATGTGTTAATCTGTTAAAATCTTTTAAATTCTAAATTTTATTTTTAATTCTTTTGATGATATCTGTATTAAAAATCTAGGTTAGATTGAAAATCACAATTGTTCTTAAATTCATTAAAATGCTTCGAAAAACTTCAAACGATATATTTTGGTTCATCTTGAAATGAGGTTCAGATGTAGACATTTTTTAAATGTTGGAACAAATTTTTAACATATTTATGATTTAAAATTAAAATATATAACGCATTGTGATATTTAAAATGAAAATTTTTAGGAATTTAAATAAATTTACTAAATTGTAATTTTTTTTTATAAATTATTCTAGAATATAACAGAATATACTCCAGAGGCAATTCTAACTTATATAGACGAAGAAATATTATTGTGACATGCAATAATAATTCGATGTGATAACTTCAATTGAAATTTGAATCATATTTATTAAAAAGGAAGTGATAAGTTTTGCTAAATATACGGTCAATTAAAAAAAAAATATATATATATATAAGTACCTGGTGATGGCCCTTTTGGACCACCAGGTCCTCCTTTTCCTCCCCCTCCTCCTCCTCCTGCTTCTTCAATACATGAAAAAGAAAACGTTTTTTAATTAAACAAGTAGTGCACGCATATTATATAAAACCGAATCACTAAAAATGTTTTAATCAGTGTCTAATTGTTTCAAAATATTTGTTGTTTTAATTTTTAAATTATTATCAGCATAATAAAGAAAAAGTACAGTAAAAATAGGGTCTTACACTGAAGTCCAAAAACAATTTCAAGGCAGACAAAACTGTTAAGAATAGTAGTTTGCTTAGAAAACAACCGGTATTCGGTAAAAAGTTGTACGGATTCCCAAAGTTGGTTTCAAAATGTAGTGTGAAAGTCAAAAGTAAAAGAAACTTAAAAATTATTTTATCCTAGGAAATGAATTATTGTTTCCAATTTATTTCGTTTCTGTCCTTGCTTTCTATGTATTTCGTTGCATTTATCTATCTAAAATATATTCGAGGAGATGTGCCTAATTTAGTGGTTCATGTATCAAAGATACTATGTTTATCCCAAATGCTGCATACAAATATCAAATATGCAATGTTAAACTATCTATACATTATGCATAAAACCGTTTTAATCAAATAATTAGTCATACATCATTTCACTATCACAATATCTAAGATTCTCACTACCTTTACATTTCTTTTAACAGAAAAAAACAATACTTTTATAAACTGTTGATTGAATTAATTACTCAATAATGTATAATCTTAAAGAAAAATGCTATGTCTTTAAAATTTAATTTATTTTAGCAAAAAAAAGAAATAAAAATTTATTAAGCTAGTGAAATAAATATTCCAAAAACATGTATTTATATAGAGGAAAACAGTATTTTTGAAAAATTCCTCAAATATGTTTCTTTCTGTCTTTTCAATTTCATGAATATTTTATTTTTATAATTTTAACAACTAAATCATGGAACTTGTACACATAAAATTCTTGGCAATCTTTTTTTTACGTTTAGTCAGCCGTATTTTTAGTAGTAGCCGTATTTAGCAATAACACGTATAAATTAGCCGTATTAATTTAGTAATAACACGTCACTTATTTTCATGTGATTTTTGAAGTCATTTCAGTGGGTATATCATATTACTCAATCGAAGCTGTAAACTTTAGGAGATTTCTATTTGCACTTTTTTATTCACATCTCAGGTAGTTTTTACTTTACATCTCATAATGATACAAGTTTGGCACGCTAATCTAATCGGTGTTTCTTGCGCGTTCCGTAATTCCTTTTCGAATCATTTTCCTCTAAATAAATTTTTTTTTAAATTTTTCTGACTTGTGACTACATTTATTATTTTCTTGCTATTTCTGTTTTAATTTGTTAAAATTACATAACTTAGTTCTGTGTTAATAAAATCGGTGTTGATTTCGTTGTAGAACTTTTAAATATGGTATTGTCAGTAGATTTATTAAATTTTACTGAAAACAGTAGTATGTGTGGTATCAAATCTGTTTTATAGCTCTTTTTTTTAAACAATTCTCACGTTCGGATACCATACAGCCTCACTGTGGGTATGAAAATTTATGTTTTCATGCAAAGTTTTTTATTTTATTAGAAAAATACTTCTACTCTATTTACATCTATTCTATTTACATCGACTTTATACTAGGTAAAGAATTTTGAAGGAGTCAACAGAATTTTGATGGATATAGAAACATCATGCTTCAGAATCGAATCATGTAGCATATGCCATATGTTAATTCTTGTTTTACCTTAGATCAAATGAACTCTTCATTTTAACATCGCCTGCGTGTGTTTTATGAGAAAAACAGTCTAATACTGGCATTTTGAAAAAGAGCTAGGAATCTGAGTTAAAAATCATTTCCTATGTTATGTAAAATATGTCTTATTTATAGCCATGAATATAATTACTATAAAATAATTTTTCCTGTATAATTACGTTACGATATATACATAATTGCATTAAGATATATTACTTTTCACTAAGATTTCTGTATAGTTACACTAATAATAGCAATTAGAGACCAAGTTAATAAAAAAGTATTGTCACGAAAAATTATATAAATTTTGCGGATAAATTTTTATTTGAAGAAAGTTTATCCTAAATGCTTAAACATTTAATGAAATAATATGTGCTAATTTGATCTAATGTGCGAAAATATTCTGTTTGCTTAATTGATTCAAACCAAACTGCGAATATTTTTTTAATCAAATCATTTATATTAAAGTCACTTTTCACAAAACCATTTACAATTTATACTATATTAATCAAATCACCTATATTATCACTTATATCAAATCAAAAATCCCTACAACTAATTAAACATCTTGTCTTTCCTAACTACAAATCTCCAAGTTTTATTTTTCTTAGTTTTCCTTTTACAATTCATGAATTTGAATTTAAGATCCTGAACTTATTCTCGCCATCGTTTCTGAGGTCTTCCAACATTTCCGCATCCTGCTAAGTTTTCCAAAAAATCATTGTTCGTGCCTCTATATTTGTCATTTCTTCTCACGTTTCCTGACTACTGTAGCCTTTATGGTATTTATCTTTATATAACTGCACAGTATATTAATTTCTTAAAATTCAGAAATCATCATTACTGATATATTTCTGTGACTGATATTTTTCTTCATATTGAATGGTATTCTGGGGTTCACTTCCATTAACAACGGCCTCAAAATGGTTAGGTAATTTTCTTTTGTTTCTGAAATTAGTTTTGATATATTAAATATGTTCTCAATATTTTCCGTAGCAGAAATTTTGATTTTTTTGATTTCCCCTTCTTTCATATACTGGTCGAAATCATTAATTTAAGAGATATTTCTGATATTCATTTTTTTTCTGTTCGTATGATATTCTTGAAAGTAAGGATAAATCAGAAAAATAAGGAAAAAATTTTAAAAATTTTTTGAAGTATCAATAAAAAAATAAGACAGTTAAAAAATTATGGAAAAAATCGTTAAAAAATATTTTACTTACGTCCACCATTTCCAGCTAAAAATTTTCAAGGAAAAAAACCTTTATTTATGAAATTAGAATTGATTAAAAAGTTACGAAACCATTATTTTTATTATGTAACTACAATTATAATTTTTTGGACCCATTTTGCTGTAATTTTTCGTTTTATGTATAAAACTACCCTTAAAAAGGTGTTTTTTGGCAGGGAATTTTTTTATTTTAAACTATTATTTCTTTATATTATATTATTTTGCTTAATAATAGTGATTTAAAATTTTTATAAATGCATATTTTTTTATACAATGTGTCTTAAAAATACTAAAATTTGAGCTGGATAAGACTGAACTTTGTCTGAGATACAACTAGTAAAAAAATTATTTATAATATCATGGTTTGGAAAAGTATTATGTAAATAAAATGTATTGTTTATATTTTAAAACACCAATGAGGAATATGCTTAATTTATTTTATTGTATTTCATTCCAGAAATTACTAATTTTTCTTAAATCATGCATTAGTCGCGAAAATAGTGAAAAATTTAAAAATGTTTTTTATAATGTTTATTAGTTGATATTTTACTTCGAAATATTATATTTAATATGTTTAGTAACAGTATAGCTTTCCATGAAACGAATAATATAGGGGAGACGGGGGCTAGTGTCAACACAAATTTGTTGTTGCGTGTTTCTTGCGAATTTGTCAACAAAAAAAAACTTATTAAGTATAATTTTTAACTTATGAGGTTTTCTTTTTATCAATAATTTGGATGTTTTATTTCATTCTTGTTTATATTTTAGCTTAAGAAGTTTCTATAAAAGTTTCGAATGAAATGTTTTTTTCTTCTTCAAAAACGGGTCCTCTACATGTTTTGCCCCTCTCTGTATGAACATTCTTGTTATTTTGTTTTGTTGTCATTTGGTAAAACTCAGAAATCATCTAAATACTAAATGAAATTAATGTCAATCCAAGCCGTATTGGAGAACAGGCGTTGACATACATTAATTAAAGTACCATTTTCAAATGGATCATTTCAATATGCTAAGAGAGACATTTTAAACACAAATAAATGCATTGGAAATCTATTATTTATTTCAGTTCAGTTGATAATTATTTCCTTTTTTTTATTTTATCAAAAATATGAAATTTCAACTTAAAATATACATAGAGATGCAGTCCGAAGTTAAAGTTTGGTATCTATTTTTTTCATAAAATTTTTAAAAAAATTTTCCCCAGAAAAATGATAGATTCCCGATCAAAATATATCCATCTTTTCTTGTCTTAAGAATTGACATCCTAATCTCCAGATCTAAAAGCAACTTTACCAACATAATGTACCTGTTTTTTCTTGAAAAAAAGGCACAAAATTGTTAACTTTTATATTCAATATGAAGTTTAAATCTATTTATATCGATTTGATATCATAATGAGTAAAAAATTAAATTAAAAAAATAAAGTTGCTAAAATTCCCTTGGAGCATGTCCCTACTAGCCTCATGAAGACACATATTTTTTTTTAGACTTAATGCTGATTATTAAGAATTATACAGTGTAAATGCTTCAAAATTTAAACCTTCAGTTTTAATTTTGAAAACAAAATAGGTTAAGAAAAAATTTGAAAGTTACTTTTGCACCTCAAAAACCTTTTTTTTACAAATTTCTACTAAAGTATTCACAGTGTGCTTATAAATCTGCACATGGAACTGCACACCCACCAGTGTCGCTAATTTAAGATATTTCACACAAGAAATTCTATAAAAAATAAAAAGAGTTATTCAAGATGTCAACTTTTGCACACTAGCTTCCCCCATTCTAACCCTAGCCTAAGAAGAAGTGAAAAATGATGACTAATTCCTTACAATGCAAACAACATCAATACAATACCTAATGCTCAGTTCTCACTCTAAAAGAAAAATACTTATTATAAAAAACTTATTATAAAAATAAATATATTTTGCATGTAACTTAAAAGTCTTCTAGACAATATACATAATGAGTATTTTAGTTAACTAATATGCGACTTCCCTTTTGTTGATGAATGATGTAGAGAAATGAACTAAATGTAATCTTAAACACAAATAGAGATTGTTTAAAGATGGCAGTGTAAGAGATGAAACCATTCATCAGCCGTTGTGCGAAGCATGGATGACATTTGAAAGAAATATGTTTGAGCGTTTTAGTATTTCAGAGAAAAATATTACTTTTAGGGAAATAAAGTGTATATAGTTTTGTGATATATATAACTGTCATTTCGTAAAATAAAATCGATAAATAACCATGGTCTATATTTAATACAATTTGATTACAATAATATTGAATATCATCATAAGTGTTATGCCTTAGCTGTAAAAAGAGTGCCTCATATTTTTTAGGACACTAATTTTGTCCCTTTTAATTATCAGGAATTAATTTTTGTTTGGACGCATATATTACCAGGAAATAAAATTGTTAAACATGAAAATAATATTTTCTGTACTATAAATACGAATTGAATTGTTTAACATGAACTTACTACGTATTCTGTAGTGATGCACTGAAAATAAGAAATTTTAACATAAACAAATGCATTATTCAAAAACAAAATGTACACATATTTTTCATTTCTTTAAAAAGATATTCTCTTTTTAATTAAACTAGAAAAAATCATTATCTTTAAATTTTATTACGTAAAACTTAATAAGTGCAAGTAAATAAATGCTATTAAAAATCGTTAAAACTGCATTTAAAATGACAAATTATATTACTAACTTAAATAAAATAATCATTTTTGTCTCATTTTCCTTCCTGATATTCATGATATGTCTTTTCTACAGAAGAAAAACGATCATATATCTCTTGTACCTACATTATCTACATCTGCGATCTCATATATTATTGTTCTTCATCAAATAAGCTTTCGAACAAAGAGAAATATCCTTTGTTCATTCTTTTTTATTATATGCGACTCAAAAAATACTTTCATAATGTGTTTATATTTTTTATAGTCAATAAACTGGTAAGCAAATTTTTTATATTTCACTTTACTATTGCAACAGAAAAAAATGCGCCATGAACTTACCATGCGTAACGAATTTCCCAGCTAAAATAAGAAATATGTATTTAGTTCAATATACATTATATCTAAATGGAAGATTTATTGTTAGTATTTTGGACAACTTTTTTTAAAAAAAATGCGTGCAACCTAATATATCATTTAAATTCTACGCATAACTTACGAGCTACTTTTTAGTTTATTTTTTACTCGTAATAAATTGAAAAATAAATTAGATTTAGAATTTTTAAAAGAAAAAAAAATGCAGTAATGTTTCGTAAATTTTCGATTTTTCTTAAACTCTCTCCTTTTCTAATATGCCTTCCGTTTTCTAATCTATATCTTAAGTCTGTATTATCTATAAAAAAGCAGGAATTTGAGCATGAAATCATATGCCAATGCCGATAATAACCATTGCGTACATCACATTTCATGTTCAAACTTTCTGCTAAATAATTTAAATTAAACTTGTTAAAAGTTTGATAATGGGGTTAGAAAATTTCAATTACAACTTTCAAAATAAAAGTAAATTAAAATAGACTCACTGACTCTGTGAACTGAAATATAAAATTTAGAATAAATAAAATACAAGGTACTTTAAGACTTAAAATGGCATTTTGAAGTAACTTTTAATAATACAGTTGCAAACATATATATATATA